ACCAACTTGGTAAGTTGTTGCTTGGGTGTTTGCCTAGTTGTCACGAGGTGCCACGTGTCGCAATTTCACTAGAGGGCCAAATCTGCCCTCATCAATATCTATTATATTTTTATTATAAATTTATTTTCAATGATTTTGTACTTTGCTATAAATTTTCAACAATGATTGGAGATTGAACTATTGTTATTTATTAGAGATTAGACTATAAATTTAGCTGAAATTAGGAGTGTTCAAGGATTGGTTCAGTTTAGTTGGAGGTTGTTTTGACAAGAAAATCGATCTGGTCAAGTTGGGAGTTTGTCATCTGAAACCGATTGACCATTAGTTTAAACCCGCCAATTCGGGTTGTATCGCTTTGGGTCTATTTTTAGTTTGGTTTGTTTGTTCAAAAGATTTAAACTTAAAAACTAAAATTTAAATGGCATAAATTACAATGATATTATTAAAAAATAAATTTATGATATAAAATATTTTAGACTAAAAAACATGGAAAATTTCCTACATCCCCGTATTAAAAAATTAATTTTAAAATATAAAATATTAATATATATTTATGATCAGATCGATTTAGTTTTGATCGATTTACAAATAGCCAAACCGAAACGAACCTAACTTGATCAAGTTGAAAAATTTCTAAACAAAATTCGCTCGAAAATATTAAGAAACCGATTGACAAAATTATAGCAGGCAACTTTTTGCCCTGAATATCAATAAAAAGTTATATTTTTATAAAATAATTAAAATAGGGTAACTTTTTTTAGAAAAATATCAAAAAGGGTATTAATACTGTTCATTGTCTTCCTCTGCTGCTCTCTTAAGAGGAAGATTATGGAATGATATTTTTTCCCTGAATAAGGGCAGTGGTTGAAGGTTTTCTTGTAGAGGTGACACGAAAAATAGGTGTAGCCGATGAGTATCTGTGTGGGAGTCGATTTCCAATACTGGATACCCACACACCTACAACAATATTTCTGTGTCCCACCATATCGTTTGGTTTCATGTATGTCGAGCAACTCAAACTATTAGGCATTCCAACGTGTATGTGTAACGCTACGGTGACGCCATTCACGTCTTCATTGTCGACCGTCTCATGATTTTCATCTACTGCTGTGTGGCCGGCCGAAGCAAGCAGCTCAGTAATGGTAGAGGCTCCATAGAATTTTGGGTTGTATTATTTGTGTCTGGACAGAGCACAAGACTCATTATCCTTAGCAAAAGAATTAGCCACGGGATTTGAGTAATCACGACAATCTACAGAAAACTCCATGCTTAATACTTTAATTCTGATCTGATGTATCTGTATCTACACTGCTCTTCACAGACTACACTTGTCTCGAAATCTTGGCATATATATGTTTACATAAATTGTAGACAACGTTGAGTCCTCAAACGAATACAAGATCAACGCCCACTGCCCTCAAACGAATTGGGATTGCTGTAAAATATTTTCTTGGGTGAGAAAAGAAAAGGAAGACGATGAACACCCTTATTGAGGGCAAAAATATCATTCATCGTCTTTCTTGAGGGAGCAGGAAGACCATGAATAGTATTAATGCCCTTTTTTAATATTTTTTAAAAAAGTTATTCTATGTTAATTATTTTACAAAATATATTTATTATGTATTTTTTGAAATGGGATTCTTCAAAAAGAATGAATTAGTAATATCTTAATAAAGCATAAAAGTACGGAGAATATTTTTATATATTGTTTAACTTTTTTTTTGCTTCAGTCCTAAGCAAGCAAGAAAAGAGAAAAAGTTGACTTGACTTGCTTATTTGAGCTACTACTCTGCCTACAGCAGTTGAAGCACGACTGCAGGGAAGGCGGAGGCCGGAGGGTTGATACTTTTTCAGTTTTTTAAAGGAAGATATTCTCTTTCGTGCGCCATTGTGTGATCCATGGGTGGTGGTGGTGGAGGTGGATTTCCGACTCCGGTGACTGGAACGCCGGGGGTGGTGGCGAGAGGGGCAGAGCCGCAGTACATATCGGCAAAGACGTCCGTGTGGTGGGACATAGAGAACTGTGCAGTCCCTAAGGAGTGCGATCCTCACGCCATTGCTAAGAACATAAGCTCTGCCTTGGCTAAGATGAATTACTCTGGCCCCGTCTCTATCTCCGCCTACGGTGACACCAGTGGAATCCGGGCCTCAGTGCAGCATGCCCTCTCCAGTACGGGAGTAGCATTAAATCACGTCCCCGCCGGTACTTGCATTCAAAACTCCGCTTTGATTTTTCTTCTTTAATCGTTCATTTTCTTCTCATCTCATCCACATTCAAAACCCTAGTTTGGGGTTTTCTTCCCTAACTTTCCTTTGTATTTTCTCCCTGCTTTTACGTTTTATCCCAAGCTCCTCTTCAGTCTTTTCCTACGTGTGCCATCAACCTCTGTCGCTGGCTTGAGATCAAGAAATTCCGTAGTCTTTTTTTTTAAACTACATCGATCAATGTAGCACATCCCTTATTTTATTTATTATCCATTTTTATAATAAATTAATGAAAGTATGAAACAAACACATAGAATGCATCTTTCTCTGTAGAAAGCTGATTTATAATTGGAAAAAGATTGTTTGAAATTGATCCCAGATTCCCCTCCGTTGTTTTCGCATTTAATTTCATGAAATGTTCTTCTGTATAACTGTATATATTTTCACACATCACAGGAGTTAAGGATGCAAGTGATAAGAAGATACTGGTGGACATGTTATTCTGGGCAGTCGACAATCCAGCCCCTGCAAATTTTTTGCTGATATCAGGTGATCGTGACTTCTCCAATGCTCTCCACCAGTTGCGTATGAGGAGATATAATATCCTTCTTGCACAGCCACAGAATGCATCTGTACCACTTGTCGCTGCCGCAAGCACCGTCTGGCTTTGGACAACTCTTGTGGCCGGAGGGCCTCCGCTTGCAAATGGTGAGTCACCACACCCAAACCCAAATCCACAACCACAGCCACACCCCAAAGATGCTACTAAACATAAACCTAGTAAAGGGCCAAAATGCACTGGCAATAATAAACATCAAGCCCAGAAATTTGATGGTATTCATAGCAAGGTAGAAAGCTCTGGTCCTGGTGTTAAGCTTAAAAGAGGGAAAAGTGGTGATGACAAACGTAGAGATGGTGAGAATAAACATCAAAATCAAACCCACAAAACTAGTGATGCTAAAGGGGGGAAATTCAGTATTAAACCTAAACCTAAAGTCCAAAAAACTAGTGATAACTCTAAAGCTAAAGCTGGTGTTACTGGTAGTAGTGGGAAACTTCTGGGGAAGAAGGTGTTAATAAAGATAAAGAAAAAGAAAATCGAAAATGCCCAACTCAAATTCACCCACCAAGCATCTGGGACTACTCAAAGCTTAATAAAGATAAAGAAAAAGAAAATCGAAAAGGCCCAACTCAAATCCACCCACCAAGCATCTGGGACTACTCAAAGCTTGCCTGTTGGGGATCAGGGTCATACGGAGGCCAAGGGCCAAGTCATGAACAAGAACCTGAACCAGAACCAGAACCAGAATCAAGAGGTTAATTGTAAATCTCGGAGAGGTAATAGGAGGAAGAAGAAGGCCACTTGACTGTGGCTGTTGGTCCTTGAATTGATATTGAGCTGTGTTTATCATGTATTGATAGTTCCCCCCCCTTATGCTTTAAATCTTATGATCCAATGTTGCTTGAGAAAGAGAACGGAAGAAGAAGTTCAATGTTGTTGTATGGCATTTAAATTATCAATCATCTTGGGCTTTTGGTGGTTAATGTGTTGCAATGTTGGACGGTTGGGTTTCATACTTGCATTGCATGATGCCTACTGGTACTACAGGATGTCTGATGAGGTCCTACATCCTTTATACGTGGTACATATGGCAAGAGAAATATACTTGCTCTTCTTATACAGGTACCAATTTACACAGAGGAACTAGGTCTCACTGAATCACTCAATTCATGAGAAGGTTGGTTTATGACTTTCAACATTCTCGATAGTCCATTCTCCTACCGTCTGATAGCAGTTTTGCATGGCAAGAGAAATATTCTATGAGATGATGAAGCTAAACCACCTCAAACATCTTATCAGATCTATGTTTTTTCTTTTCCCCTCATTCCGTGTGAGTCGACATCTGCTTCCACAGTGGAGGGTGAGGGTGCCCAAAGTGTATACTGGAGATTGGAGTCAGGAGTGGTTTTCAACTTTCAACAAAAATGAGAGAACCAACAACACCAGGAATGTCTCTGTCTTGACGCCGACTTGTTTTTGTGGTACGAAAGGATGGTCGATTACACACAGAAAAACAAAGAGGAAAACGACCAAAAGTAGTTCACCCTACACAGGTCCATTCAAGTGTCGCCCTGCTAGGATTTTAAGCCACTCCGGGCAATCCCCAACAAACAGGCCAGACTCTGTCTGTTGGACCTCTTTTAGCAAGCTCATGAGCTACACCATTTACATATCTTTTAACAAAAGAAATATAACAGAGAACAATTTGCAGTTTTGCACAGCTCCACGCATCCTTCGCCATATCTGGATTTCCTCTTGAATTTGCATTGACCAAATTTGAACAGTCGAACTTCACAACAACTTGTTTGAATCGGAGGTGCTTCACCAGATGAAGGCCCATTGAGATTGCTAGAGCTTCAGTTTGGATTGTGCAGTTCTTATTATTTGTTTATGGAGAGCAGGAACTAATCACCAATGTGACTTTCCAAATCCCAAATATGACTTCATTTAATCATCTTATATATATAAGAGAAATACTTCATTGCATTGCATAGTTCCTTGATTAGAGCAAATTCTACATTGGTTGGAGTTGAGGGGGAGGTATTTTTTTAGGAAAATTTATGGTTGACCCCTTTGGAAATTTTTATTGTTTTTATAAATCCAAATTCCCACTTACTCAACCATATTGTGATAGGTTTCTCCAACTGTCACATCTTTTTTTTTTTTTTTTAATTTCGGTTTTAGTATTAAATTGCAGACACCGAGGAGGACTTAGCAGGGAGCACAGAAAATCCACTAGCCATGCCACGAAAAGCCTGCAATTCCACAGGTTTGAATTTGATCACACACCTCACACCTCTCTGGTGGATGTTGACTGGCCATCTCAACTATTGGGGGATGGACTATTTATGTAGCGAAGTACACAATTATTCAATTTAAAAATATACCCCATAGACTATTTGAAGAAGTTGATCGAGCCCACTTGGAAAGTAAGCCCAATCATAATCAGAGATTGTCTAGTCATTACCGAAAATCAAGGATGGAATTGTATTACAACCATTCTTAAAGAATCCCGGGTTGCCTCCACTTATTTCATAAGATTTGGTAAGGTGGTAGGCCACTTAGGGCTGTCACAAGGGTAATGCAGGGTGAGCTCGGTTCAGGTACCCACAAACTTGGTCCCGACCCAGACCCCTCAAAGATATGTAACTACTACATCTCGAAGATTAGGATGGCAGTTTTCCTTCACTCAATGGGGTCAAGGATGGAGTTTGAATTGGCGGGAACGGGGTGGGGATAGGGATTGATAGTAGACCTGTTCATGGGCCGGGTGGCCCGACGGGCCGGCCCGGCCCGACCTGACCCCCGGACGGGCTTGAACATGCTTATAGGCCCACGGGCTTAAATTCGGGCCAAAAAG